GGATGAGTTAATTACACCCAATGACATAAGAATTAGCTAAATATGGAAATGTACGTCTGGTGTCAGATCTGGTAAATTTCCACTAAAGTTTGATTACTACATCATTTAGAAAACATGTTGTTATGGGTCATTTATAAATAGATCATATTTATAAATATAAATAGATCATCTATTTCCGTAGGATTAAGTGACGTATATCTAATAAACCTGTTTATGAATTTGCAAATAAATTAATTTCTTCTAAATAAACACATAGCTCATATTCACCTAACGTTTTTATTCACACAGCATAAATCATCACTTATATTATAATAATAAAGATCCATGCCCGTAGTGAGAATGGAGATCTGAGTCAGTTATAAAAAATAAAGATTCATGTCAATGGTGGAAAATGAAGATTCAGGTAAGGTAGGGAAAGAAGATCTATTTCAGCGGCAGAGAATCAAGATCCATGTCAGTCGTAGATAATAAAGATTCACGTAAGGAATAGCGAATAAAGAATCGTCAAAGGCAGGGCAGTGTGACGTTTTTCGTTTCCCGATATTGGCGAATAATGAAAAACAAGTCGCTCGCTTTTCGATATTTGTGAATAACGAAAATGAAGTTGCTCATTTTTCGATATTAAAATATGAATATAAAAAAAACATATTTCACGGATGGATAGAGAATAAATGAGAAACACCTTTCATTAAATTAAGTAATAAAACTAATAGACAAAATCACGAACGAAGATGTCTATGCAGTGGATTTAAGAATTAAATAACTTTTCTAAAACGAACTAAAGAAATCATTAACGAGGATGTCCGAGAAGTGGATTCACATAAAAACTGCACCTTCTCTTTGTTTTTCTATATTCAGGTTTGAATCTCAAGAAAGCAGATTTCAAGGATGTGTAAATATAGAGTGTATCTAAACACATTTCATTAAATCAGTTTTCTAAAACGAACTCATTAATTCATATATATCAGGATGCCTGCCCGAGCGTGGATTCATATAAAATTGCCCTTTCTGTTTGTTTTTCAATATTGGCGCATTTATTGTCATGACCTTACTATTATCCGAGTTTGCTTTAATACGAGTATAATATATAGTAAAATCAAAATTTAAAAAATGTGTTTACGCCTACACATAATATTATGAAAATGTTCAAATTCCTCGCAAGCATAGAGCGCATCTTTCACAAACGTGTTTATATGTCGCTTCACATGTCAAATATTCACATTTATAAGGTACATAAACGTACACAAATCAAAATCAAAGAAGAAAAGGAAAACCACACAAAAAAAAATAGTATAAAGATTAAGATAACCAAAGAATAAAAAAATGAAATATCATTTTTAAAAACTTGTTTTGAAACGAGATACACTATCAATTTGTCTACTGAAACATAAGACCTTTTAAAAAAAAAAACGAACTTTAAAAGAAACGTGTTTACGGTATCGTTTGGGTCGTGCTCTTTGGTTGACGAAGCAGTACATGTTAGTTTTCTAGACGGGTTATAACGTTGTAAAAGGTCATATTATAGAAGATTAGATAAAGAGCTGGCAGTTTTCACTATAATAGTTAAAAATAGATAATGAAAGCGGAATATGCTGAAAATTTCAGAGAAATTGCTCAATTCTGAACCGAGTTATTAGTGTTTGAATTTTAGGCCTAGCCTCGATCATCATTACTAAAGTCGATACGATAAAAAAAAAACATAGTCTCAATTACCCATTTTTGGATTTAATCATCAATGAGCGTTGAGCAGCAGATTGGATTTAAATCCAGTGAAAATCCGACACATAGATGGCATCGAGAGTTGATTAAGGTCTTTTCATGTTAATAAAAGTATAATTAATAGTTTATATAACATTTCAGGTCTAAAAAAAGACCTGCAATAGGCAGGTTTAGCTCTTGCAAAATGTATGTTAAATTAATAAGACAATATCATTTTAAAATCAATCGTAAAAATAACATGCAGTCGGCGAAGAATGGGGTTTATATACTGTTTTTTTTTCATCACTGAGCTTACTAATTTACGATTATTCTGCATTTTATTTCGTCTAAATACTGTTCATGTACTGATTTTCAAACATTAAAGTCACAGGTAGCGAATTCACAAATATAATATATAACTAGAACTGCGATGCAGTAATGACGGGTTTCACCGGTGCCCCGTTACCCTTGAACATATGTCACTTCCGGTACCGATGAAACCATTAAACAGGTTTCCACATAAGCATTGCACACATCAAATAAAATGGACGCCGAATCAACAAAATCCAGCAATATCAATTCATTTTATATATTTGTTACATGTAAGTGTACAGTACTTCCGGTGATAATGAAAATATTCAATTAGTTTTATGAAATCAGAAATGGCATAAGGCGTCACATGGTGAAAATTTTATGTAAATCGAATAATAATTGCCACTTTTATAGACCAAAAACCTTAAAAAGTGACTTGTAGAAAACCGTCAATTCCTCTGCAACCATACAAGTTAGAAACCATTTTCTGGAATCTGTATGATCGTATGGGTTTATTCTATTTGTTGATTGGAATCAAATATCATAATTTTAAAAACATAACAACTCAGACTCATTTGAATAAAATATCTGTTTTGAAAGCTAAAAATACAGTTTTTGCCAAAATGACGTTACTTCCGGTGATAATGAAAATCTTAAATTACTTGTATGAAATCGTAAATGGCATTAGGTATCACATAGTGAAAATTTCATGAAAATCGAATAATAATTGACACTTTTATGGACAAAAAACCTTGAAAAGTGACCTGTTGAAAATTACCTATTTCTCTACAACTGAACAAGTTAGAAACCATTTTGTGATACCTATATGATCGTATGGGTTCATTCTATTAGTTGATTAGAATCAAATATCAAAATATTAAACAAACAACAAATACGACTCATTTCAATAAATTATTTGTTTCTAAGGCTATAAATACAGTTTTTACCCAAATTTCGTCATTTCCGGTGACATGGAAAATGTTAAATTGAGTTGAACTAGTCACAATTGACATTATGCATCAAATGGTGTCACTTTTATGAAAATCCAATAATAATTGACTCTTTTACAGACACAATAGCGTAAAGAGTGACTCATGCAAAATTGACCATTTCTCGGCAACTGCTCATATTACAAACTAATTTTGAGATAGATTCTCTTCGTATGGATTAATGCTACAAGTTTATGAAAGTTGCGAAGAAATATTTTAAAATATGAAAAGCCTGAATGGGTTGTAAATAGCTCATTTTTTCACCTTTTTTCACCTTTAAATCAAAATGACCCGAAAACGAAATCAAAATTAAAAAAACTGAGCCCGATGTTTTCTGTGCCTTTACAGGGCACACACTTTCAGTCATACCAGATTTGAAAAAAATAATATTTGCTTTCAAAAAGTGGTACCGAACTGTCAAAATTGTAGTTTTTGCTAAATTTACGTCACTTCCGTTGCCGAAAGGTAACTTTACCGGTAACAAAAAAAATGACATTTTGGATTACGGAGCATATGAACTTTGTTTTATACAAATCGAGCAATAAATAATAATTCCAGGACTGAAAAACTGAATTAGCCAGTGGGGGTCAAGGAAATTTACGATGACAAAAAATGGTGCCATTTTTGGTCAAATCAGATGACTCTTTAACCCTGGGTAAAATACCACATTAAAATATTCATGAATAAAAAAGTTTTTTGTAAAAATTTAAATTTTCAAAATTTGGCGCCTAATATCTCCGACGATGTTAAAATCCGACGATTATTGTTAATATTACGGCAATATTTCAAAAATCGACAAATTCGACGATTTCGGACATTTCGCATTGTCGCAGAACGTTCGAAATAGCTTTAATCTCTAAGTCACACCCACTTTTCTAGTAAAACCGAATACATCGAATCAATCCGACAAGTAGTTTCTGAGATACAATCAAATTGGAAAAAAAAAAAATAATAATAATAAGAATAATAATAAGAATAATTTTAACAAAAACAATAGTGTTTCACACAAGCTACGCAGTGTGAAACCCTAATAAGAAGAAGAAGAATAATAATCTTAACAAAAACAATAGTGTTTCACACAAGCTACGCAGTGTGAAACCCTAATAATAATCTTAACAAAAACAATAGTGTTTCACACAAGCTACGCAGTGTGAAACCCTAATAATCCGAACAAAAACAATAGTGTTTCACACGCAGTGTGAACCCCTAATTATGTGTCATCAACATATAACTAAAGTAATAAACTATGTTTTGACGTGATATTGCCTAATGGAGACATCTCTAAACTTAACACAATATGCGATAACGAGGAGCCTTGCGGTACCCCAAATCTGATAATTATTTCCCCCGAGGATCAGTCACCAATGACAATACACGGTTTTCGTTCCTTTGGGTATGAATTTATACCCTGTATGCCAGTTATTCGTTTAATCAATTTAATACGAGAAGTTTACTTATTAACTAATAAACGATTTTTTGTGATTAGGTACATTCCACCTCTTATCTAAATTGCTGTAGCGATACTTAACAGTTGACCTCACGTTTATTCAATGAAGGTTAAAATGCGGTTGGTGTTGCCTGACGACTAGTGTTTTGTTACATAAAGACGCAAAAGACGCAGTAATCTATTCATATATAAAATAAGTGACGTGAACATATTTGCTTATGTTATCCTAAAATATTAAATATAAAAGAATTTAACTTTATGAATAATATGATTCTTTATGGTTTTATCAGAACAATCTATTCCCTCCCTTCATTTTGTAATTTAAAAAGGGCGAAGTTTATAAAGACTTAAAATTAAAGTATCTAAATAAGTATGAGAAGGGTGAGCGAACTTAATGCTGACGACATTAATTCCAGGTTCGGGTAATCGATTGGTTGATATTATAAACTAGTTTGATTGGCTAACAGTTGCATGATATGATCTAGTATTTTTTATATTATTCATGTTTTATGTTTATTGTGTTGATATCAATAGATATAAATAAAATAGCTGAAGATCAAGCAAAAAAAACCCCACAATACATAGGGTATAAAAGCCAGGGTGCTTTCCACTGACATCAGTTAAGTTTTAGTAACATTTCATAATGTTGCCAAAAACTATAACATTTCTAGCATCGCTAATCGCTCTTACTTCTGCAGCATCTGTTCGAGGTATGTTATGATATTTATTAAGATTATTTTATTTTAAAAAATTTATTTCAGAGACACAATTTTTATATATTTTTCTAATGTTTGTGTATTATAAGATAGTACCATTGAAATAGATGATTGTATCCGTATCATTTTATAAATATTATTACCGTTTCTTTTTATTTGATTGAATTGTATAAAATTAATTCAGTACCAATACAGCGCATTATAAATTAAATTCTTTTTGACAATTTTCTCTAGTTTTCAAGGACCCTATATCTGTTTTTGTAATAATTACAATATGTTGAGTATCGTTTAATTTGTTTTAAACGCTGTCAAGACAAAACATGTATGTTAAAGCGCTAAATTTCTTTTAAAAAAATCCAAATTTGTATAACAATTTTGTATTTGTTTTTGTTTTAAATTTTTAAATATTTATAGGCATAAGGATATGTGATACTTGTTTTTATCTTATTAACTAGTCTGTGATACTTATTTTTACTTTATTAACCAGTCTGTGATATTTTTAATATTACTTTTTTAACTAGTCTGTGATTTTTGTTTTTACTAAATAACCAGTCTGTGATATTTGTTTTTATCTATGTATATAAATATATTAATTGTTTAATTTGTTTAATTTGGCACGGTAAAACCCGGTTGAAGCTGACGTGCCATTAAACAACATTTTATTTCTATCAGCGGCATCAATTATGTCGTAAAATACGTTACGTAATTTATAAAGTTCTCAATATGATTATTATTATTTATGTATTTTGTTTCATTTGAAGAACCGAGCTGCAACAATGGCTACTGGACCCCTTTCTTTGATCGAGACAATCCATCTGGGGACTATGATTATGAAGCGTTATCAGCCATACAGAATGAAAACCCTGGGAAAGTTTGTGCTTCTCCCATCGGTGTAGATGCTCGTCTGCTGAACGGGAATCACTATTCAACATCTGGGGAGATTGTTTCCGTTAATCCCAATCTTGGGCTTATATGTAAAAATGAGGACCAGGAAGACCGGAAATGCGAAGATTACAAAGTTCGATTCTGTTGTCCAAAAGAAAGTAAGTATTTCTTTATTTTGTCTTATTTAAATTCGTAATTAGGTAAAATGAATTATGTTGTGGACGTAAAATTTGATTCATCGACTTAACAAATACGCTTAAAAGTGTAAATCAGACAACCAACAATACAATTTTAATTCTCCAAACTAAATACACGCTAGAAGGAATCTGAATAAAAATGATAAGCATCATAACCCAACAATGATTTAAACAAAATTATGATTTGACCCATGTTTAAAGCTTCTATATAACTTTATAGCGATTAGATTTAGTTTTAACATTTACAAAATCTAAGTACCTTTTTCCATTTTCTGTTTATAGTTGTTGAACCAGAATGCAATAATGGTTATTGGACACCGTTTTTCGACCGAGACAATCCATCTGGTGGTTACGACTACGAAAGTCTCTCGGACATCCAGAAAGAAAATCCAGGAAAAGTGTGTGCAAAGCCAACCGGTGTTGACGCTCGTCTTTTAAATGGTGATCATTATTCAGTAGGAGGAGACGTTGTATCAGTAGGCCCGTCTATTGGTCTTATCTGTAAAAATTCTGATCAAAGTGATAAAAAATGTGAAGACTACAAAGTTCGATTCTGCTGCCCAAAAGGTAAACATTAGTTTCAGTTATTCTTTTACACTTTGTCATGTCACATTAAATTTACACTTAAACTACGAGAACTTAATTGGAAATGAGAATTTTTAATCATCAATTTCGTTAGTATTTTCTATACTAACAAAACACGTATTGTTTTAGTAAAAGATGAGATTCGCGACTAATAGATTCGAACCAATGGAATATGCTACAAAGCGAACCAGGCCCGTAACTAAAATTGTCGAGTATAGATATACATTGTCCGTCAATTTTACAGCAACCCCTGAGAACATATTCCACATAGCCCAACATTTCCCCGCTCCCATAGGCGATGTAATTGTTCTGTCTTGTTCATTATGTAAAAGCAGTGATCACCACGCCCATGCTTGACGATGATGTCTGTACAGTTTGTATCCTGTTTGGACAAAACTGATTTAATATTCAAACCTCTCTCATCACTATATCTTTTTAATTAGAAAACCAATCATATAACATATCGTATCCACCTGTTATATAACGAACAGGTGGTTGTTATTGCTTACTTTTATCATTGTATTTTCTATTTGTTAATCAATAATCGTGAGGACCCGGGTTTCCGTGCCAAACGTTATGATACTGGCAGGTTTCTTGGCGATCTATGTAATTCGTAATTCGTGTATGTTCTGGTATTTTAGTGGGTTGCCATCCAAAATAAATAAAATCTAGGGAAACATTGGAAATAAAAGTGGCCAAGACCTGTTTATGGACATAGACGCAATCTTACACATGATTCATCCGTTTTCTTACAGAACCAATATTTCAATGCCCCTACAACGCTTGGACAGCCTGGTTTGATAGAGATAACCCTTCTGGAACTGGTGATCACGAGGTTCTGTCTGTTCTGCAACAAGAGAATCCCGGAAAGATCTGTCCTTCACCTTCAGCCATTGATGCCCAACTTCTAAATGGTGACTCATACACAAATGGCGGCGACGTTTTAAGTATTTCTCCGTCTAATGGTCTCGTTTGTTTAAATTCTGGCCAATCAGATAAGAAATGTAATGATTATAAAGTGAGATTCTGCTGCTTCGGAGGTAAGTCTAAGTTATTTCCCTTCTGTCACTATTGATAATACAATGACGACAATTTTATACATTGTTATGTTTGAAATAGAGACTAATAAGTCTGGTTTACTTATATTTATTGGTTACCCGATTACAGGTCCGTTATAAACTATATTTTAATATCCCACATATAGGGCAGGGCCAAAATAACATAATTGCTCTTTTTTCATAGAATCAACATGCCGTAAGGAAGATTGGACACCATGGTTTGATCGTGATAATCCAAGTGGATACTATGACTGGGAAGGATTAGCATCCATTCAACAGGAGAATCCTGGTAGAGTCTGCAGCAACCCAACGGCTGTTGATGCTCAATTAATAAATGGCAACCCCTATACTGATGGAGGCGACGATGTAGTTATTGGACCTACTCATGGACTCACCTGTAAAAATGATGATCAAAAGGACAAACGTTGTAATGATTACAAAGTTCGATTCTGCTGTTCAAAAGGTAAAATTAATTACTAAGCCTTGTCACACTCTTTCGTGAATGTTTAAATAGATCATTGCCCAATACGGATTTAATAAAGAAGCATTGAAGCTATGTAGTAAAGTTCTTCAAATATCCTCTTTACGTCAGTATCAGATCCTCCGGCTACTAAGCTGTTTAGTAAAGTCCATCAAATATGCTCTTAATTTCAGTATCAGAACCTCCGGCATGTAAAGAAGAACACTGGACCCAATGGTTTGATCGAGATAATCCTAGTGGACAAGCTGATTATGAAGCACTATCTAACTTACAGGTTGAGAACCCAGGAAAGATCTGTGCTGTTCCATCGGCTGTGGAAGCTCAACTTCTTAATGGAGATCCTCACACTTCCGGCGGTGATGTTGTTACTGTTGGTGCTACGATTGGGTTGTTGTGTTTTAATAAACTCCAACCGGATGGAAAATGCAACGATTACAAAGTTAGATTTTGTTGTGAACCTGGTATGTATAATCGTAATATTTTGTTTTCAAATTGAAAACTAACTTATGTTGGGTATTGTCAAAAACGAAATTAATTTTTTTTTTATTTCAAAGACTTCAGCTATGCGTTTGATAATTTCACAAAGCTAGACAGTGAACGAAAGTCGGTTAAACCCCATACTGTCAGGATAAATGTTAAATATAGTGTCACAGAGTGTGCCCTATCAAACGCAAAAGAGTTACGGTCATTTAAAATTCTCAATGTTATTTATTGATTTCACTCCGCCATCTTTATGTGTCTCAAATAATAAAATAACAAAAATTCATCTGCATGACCTTACAAGGTATTTTTTGTATTCGCTAATGTGTTTCATTACATAACAACAATGAAATAATATATATATATATATATATATATACATATATCATATGTAAGAGTCTGACCTATGGATTTGAAATAAACATGGTTTTAATATTTATTTTTCACCAAAAGAGGAACCTGTTTGTCCAGATAATGCATGGACTGATTGGTTTGATAGAGATGATCCTTCTGGTGGTTATGACTACGAAGCTTTGGCTGATCTACAGAAGGAAAATCCAGGAAAAATTTGTCCTTCACCATCTGCCATCGATGCCCAGCTTACTAATGGTACCCCCTACACAGATGGTGGAGATATACTAACTATTTCACCCACAGTTGGTCTCATCTGCAAAAATTCGGATCAACCAGATAAGAAATGTAACGACTATAAAGTGCGATTCTGTTGCTTCGGTGGTGAGTTGAACACTTTGGTAATTTATAAGAGTTATCTCCCCTATTGTTGAATCAACACAAAGCAGATATAAACACAACCAAATTTTTCAAACCTGCACCTAATCCAGTTCTCAGTAATACACTGTAAAATAGTTAAATACTAAAACTGATTGTGTAAATATAAATTAAACATTTTGATTGGTCTCAGCATTAGATTTATCACCCATCATGGTAACGTTATTTCCAAAATATCCGTATTTATTAATATCGGATAAGTACAGAATTTGAAGTTGGTAAAGATTTCATTTGCCCAGCATTAGATTTATTACTCATTATGGTAACGTTATTTCAAAAATATTCTTATTTATTAATATCGGATAAGTGCAGAATTTGAGCGATGTTTCGACGAGGCTAGTTTTTATCAAGTAATGAGACAAATATACAAAATGAACATTCCAGTTCTATTACAAAACTCTATTGAAATAATATAACAAATTATAATCTAGCTTATGAATAATATTATTGGTTCATTATTTTCACTCCCTTCAGAATCAACATGTCCTAAAGAACATTGGACACCATGGTTTGATCGTGATAATCCAGGTGGATACTATGATTGGGAAGGATTAGCAGCAATTCAACAAGATAATCCTGGCAAAGTCTGCAGCAATCCTACTGCTGTGGACGCCCAATTAACAAGTGGAGCTCCCTATACTGATGGCAATGACGATGTAGTTATCGGACCTACTCATGGACTCACCTGTAAAAATGATGATCAAGATGACAAACGTTGTAATGATTATCAAGTTCGATTCTGCTGCTCTGAAGGTATGGGTATTTAGGATCTATATCAACGTTTTAAGTTATTTCATTTATAAATGAAGAATCCAAAGCTTCTACTTCTGCTAAAACATTTTCTTCATATTACAACAATGTTCACATTAGTTTCAGACTGACATATTAGATTAGACAGTCCTCTTATTTCAATATTTAACAATAACAATAGATAACGATGACAACTATGCTAGATCACCCCATTTATAATATTAATATTATACATTATCGATTTTATAGAGACACCAAGCTGTCCTAACAATGCCTGGACACAGTGGTTTGATCGGGACAATCCATCTGGTAAATACGATTATGAAGCATTGTTCGTACTGCAACAAGAAAACCCTGGCAAGATTTGTTCTTCACCTTCTGCTGTTCATGCCCAGTTGACAACTGGTGCCCCCTACACAGATGGAGGAGATAATGTGATTTTATCAGCACAGGGTGGTCTAATCTGTGAAAATGCTGCTCAAGATGATAAAGAATGTGAGGACTATAAAGTCAGATTCTGCTGTGCTGGAGGTTCGTATGCATTTCATTCACTTTAAGTATAACTATATCTCATTTATTTATCTGATACGAAGGAAAATTATGACATAACCCTTGTGTTGAATCTCTAAGTATCTGTTTGTTTAAAGATACGTTCCCAGAAAAGTATTTATCGGATGTTTATTTCCAATAAAAGTATGTCAATTTTGGTATATATGGAAAGTAGAAATATCCAATCTTACTAGAAAAATGCTGGATTCCCTGAAAAACACTCATGGAGCGGACACGGGACAAAATGTACGGGTTTCCCTAATCGATAGCTCGACGATTAGGAGTGTCTGCACGCGTGAGGTCGAAGGTTGCACGCGGAGATTGAGCGCTTGATGTACATGTTGATAAACTTTATGAAGAGTTAGACGTACAACACTTTCTGAGATAAAAATCACGGAAAAAGACGCGGACAGTGGATAATCCGAGAATTTAATTAAGCTTCGATATTTGTAATAAATGGTCAGCGATAAAGGCAACATCATCTTTTGTATGCAATGAATTCTCCTCCGACTTCGCACCCGTTGTGTCACGTGACACAAACATGGCCTCTTTTGATCGATTTTTTATAGCCGGGTATTCCCTGATATTGCAATGTTTTGAGTCCAAATATATCATTAAATCACCCAGTTTGTACCCGGGAATGTATCTTTAACACTTTCAACACCACGGCTATTTTCATATAATTACTTTATTGATTTGAACCATTTTTTATTTAAGATAACCAACCTGTGTGCAGAAAGGAAGACTGGACTCCATGGTTTGACAGTGATTCTCCTACTAGATCTAATGGTCTTTCAGACAAAGAAACACTATATGCCCTGAGAGTAAGTATTTTCAACATCGTTTACGAACTTCTAAATGGTATTGGGTAGGTAACCATTTAGCCATCCTCTTTGGACTCCCTTTCTCTTTAGGCATCCACAAAGCTCGGTGTAAATTTTAATATTGTATTCCGAATTCATATTTTATTTGTAATTCATTTTGGACAGATTAATTGTAAGAGTTAAACCGTAGCAGGTGTGGGAATTTTGACATAGTATTATGTAAGATGTAATGTGTTATACAAACATTTATACTCGGCGTGCCTTTAGACAAATTATATGCTATAAGATTTAAGTCTAAAACTTATTGTCTGGAGTTAAGACGTGTGACTCTTAATATAAGAGTTATGTATTGTATCACATCTGCTCCTCTACATGAAATTTTCTGCGAAAGATTTACATCACAGTATAACCTTATAATCTATAAGAATTGAAATCACAATGCGTGAATCAATGAGTGAAGATATAGATATTTACGTAAGAATTTTTTTTCTCAGAAACTATATCCAGAAGAAATTTGTTCCAATCCTTCAGCTTTTGATGCCCAGACAGTTGCGGGAGTACCATACACAAATGCCGGAGATGCCTTATCTGTAGGCCCTACATTAGGTTTAATATGTACAGGAAGTCATCAATCCGATCGAGCATGCAATGACTACAAGGTTCGATTTTGTTGCGAAGGAGAAGAAACTGGCGGCGTTAATGACGAGCAAGTTGCTGAAGACTTGGCAGCTGAAGGACTTGGCCTCATAGATACCATTAAAGACGATGTACTCCCGCCCAAACAAGAGTCTTCAGTCGTAATTGAAGATCATTTAATATGAGAAACTTGCCTATTAAAACTTGTTTTACATTGTCTCATAATTGAATATTTTATAGATACTTCATTACAAATGAATATAAAACATATTTTTTGTCTTTGTACACAAAATAGGGTATATACAGAGCTGTATCGCATGTATATACATGCATGTTACGCGTTATAAATCGTTAACATAACAGGAAAATGTTGATAATGTTTCTATTGAATCTAATACTATTTAAAATCTGTAGAATAATTTGAAATTAGTCTGATTGGATTAAATAAAAGTTATTTTAAGTCAGAAACATCTTAAATTAATTGTATGTGATACTTGATGATGTATGCTCCTGCATATTTTATGGTGAATTATTTGTAAAGTGTATTCATTATAGCAATAAATGATTTGAATCGTTCAGATATTGTTATTTACTTTGGTCCAAAAATATCAATTTATTATCACTTTGGAGAACTTCATTGGGCGATTGAATGTGTTTCAAATTCTACATTTCAGCACCAACCGACCATATAAAGATGGGCAAACGTCAGGACAACGGCATTTCCTCCATTTCTTTATCCGATTCAAAATCGGTCAATTCTTGTAGTGTTGTCGATTGACGTTGACGTCGACGAATACGTCTCCCGATCAAATTAAATTTAACACACTAAAGCAAAGATACGCTAAACAGTTAATCTTATGCAAGAACCGATAGAAAAGCAAACATGGATAGAATGAACCAGCAAGCGGCAGTTTTCATCAACCCTTCCTTGAAGTGTCAAATTTGACAATGAACCCCTCCCACGTGTATGGCGCTATACCGTGTCGCACATGCAGCTCAGTGGTTCTGTTGGGGCGATAAGTTCTTCATCTGTGAACATACTCTCACAACATGTCAAGTGTCCATGACTATTTATCATATCACAACCTGTATAGGTATTTGCATTTCAATATCCCCTACTTTTTATTTGAAGAGTATAGAATACCATATTTCTGATATAACTTAATTAAACAAATAGTTATTCAATTTGTTTGCTGTCACATCTGGATTCAAGAGTAGACTATCATTGAGAGACGATGCTTTATCCAGATCTTTACTTTCAAAGAATACGCACCGCTTCCTTCCTATAAAAAAGCTCATGCATACTCAATACCTTATTATTTTCTAATGTAAAGGAACGTGTGATATATATCATCCATTGGAAACTTGCGCCAGACGAGATTAGGTACATAATGATTAATGTACGTTAAGGAAGATGTAGGTGGCCTAGACTTCAGCATTACACAATATCTTGTCAAAGAGCTAGTCAAACCTTATGGGTTTTCTCGGAGCCCCCCCCCCCCTCCCACCCCGCCCTTGCTCAAGATCCTTAAGCGCAAGCGAACTATTCAACCAAATGTTAGTTTTGAAATAACCTAGTCTGTATCGAGTGGATATTAAACTCCATTTGTCTCTCTCTCGCAAGAAGCAGTTTTAGTTTATTTATGGAACGCCGTATCTTACAAAATGTGTAGACTAAAACAGAATGATATTTTGTCAGGTACATGGTATATCGTAATAATTGATAAAACCACCGTCTACCACCACTATCGACGGGCGGAATGATAGGGGTGGGGTAGGGTGGTGTGTATGTGGGGGTGGGGGGCACAATTATCCAATACATTATTCACACTCGTTACTTCGTTCATGTAAATATATGGTAAAATCTATTAGTTTTTAAAATATTTATAAATTCTTCCTTTTTTGGCATGAATCATAAGTCTGATGGCGATCGGGAACCCCTCGAAGAAAGAACAGAATTATTTTTGCGGGTGGGGTGGGTTGGGGCGAATAAATTATTCGCAGTAGTCACTTCACTCATGTAAATATTTGGTAACATAAATTAAGTTTTCAACTATACTTTTTTTCCCCTTTTTGGCATGATTCAAACATTTATCTATGGGAATTTTCTATTTCAAAATCAAAGCGTTACATGACGTATACTTCAAGTCTCAGCACTTGTTACATTATGGTAATGATCATCCATCTTGATAGGAAGAGTAAGTTATGAAAAGGTTATTGACTTGAACAGAAATAAATCTGTTAATAATGAAGAAAATAATAAAAGGTGAGTGTCGAATTAATTCTGTAGTTTCCCGCCACCCGTAACCTGGGGTAACCAGGAGACAAGTAACGAGATAATTCCAATGCTTCAGTCTCACAGGAAGGCTAATATCTGTAGCCATTACCACAGAACTACGGCTCACCCGATAACATACAGTTTTATACCTACTAATATATTACATTGTATGGGATGGTGCAATATTTTTATGACAAGGGAAGTAATTACGCACGGGTTCAGACCACAGGTTTATTTTCTACTAAATGTTTAAAGATGAATTAATGTGAGGTATATGACAAATCTTAATGATTGATAATAATTTAGACGCCATACTATAGTTATTAAATGTTGTACATGTTCAAATTTATGAAAATTGTCGATTGATCTATTGGCAATTAATAATAAAAGGTGAGTGTCGAATTAATTCTGTAGTTTCCCGCCACCCGTAACCTGGGGTAACCAGGAGACAAGTAACGAGATAATTCCAATGCTTCAGTCTCATAGGAAGGCTAATATCTGTAGCCATTACTGTATTGATTATTCATCTTGAAAAGCAGTTTGCTTATATTGAACAAATAAGTAATTAAAAGTTTATAGTATAGAAAATAAGTAAATCTGTTAAAAATGAAATAAATAATAAAAGGTGAGTATCGAATTAATTCTGCAGTGTCCCGCCACAAGTATCCTGGGGTAACCAGGTGACAAGTAACGAGATAATTCCAATGCTTCAGTCTCACAGGAAGGCTAATATCTGTAGCCATTACCACAGAACTACGGCTCACCCGATAACATACACTTTTATACCTACTAATATAGTACAGTATATGGGATGGTGCAATACCTATATACAAAGGGAACTAATTAAACAAGGTTTCAGACACAAGTTTTTTTTATCGACATTGTTTACGATAAAATAAAGTTTTTATTGTTAAAATACTTCTATTTTAACCAATTTACATTTGATATTTAGTTGCTCCTACACCTATAATTACGTTTAACGGGAAAGTGACATCATTGATTATATATATAGATTGCTTAGCAGTTTTATTGGAAATCGAACTAGTTTTAGTTTATTTAGTTGTATGGAACACCGTATCTACCAAAATGTGTATACAAAATAGTACGTTACCTTGTCAGGTATAAGGCATATCGTAATAGTCATGTAAAGAAGCTAGAATACGCGGCATTTTTTTTTTTTTTTTTTTTTGATTTGCTATTTGTATTTTTTTCATTTTGAAAAACATGCTGTAATTTCTATTTTTAATTTTGGATTATGAGGTATAAGGTATCTTAAAACCCAATCTACCATGTAAGGAAGCTCAAATAAGAACTAATTTTAATTTTGAATTTTGTGAATTAATGCTTAATTTTGTAAATTAATGCTTAATTTTGTAAAGTAATGCTTAATTTTGTAAAGTAATGCTTAATTTTGTAAAGTAATGCTTAATTTTGTAAAGTAATGCTTAATTTTGTACATTTATGCTTAATTTTGTACATTTATGCTTAATTTTGTAAAGTAATGCTTAATTTTGTCAATTAATGCTTACTTTGTATTTTTTTCATTTTGAAAAATAAACTGTAATTTCTATTTTTAATTTCGGATTATGAGGTATAAGTAATATATCGTAATAATTGATTAAACCAAATCTACCATATATAGGGGGGGGGGGGGACAATCATCCAAAAAAATTATTCACGCTCGTCACTTCAGTCATGTAAGGAAGCTCAAATAAGAACTATAGTTTTGTTCATTTTTTAATTTTGAAAAATAATTTCTAATTTCTAATTTGAATTTTGAATTTTGTAAATTAATGCTTATTTTTGTAAATTAATGCTTATTTTTGTAAATTAATGCTTATTTTTGTAAATTATTGCTTAATTTTGTAAATTATTGCTTAATTTTGTAAATTATTGCTTAATTTTGTAAATTAATGCTTAATTTTGTAATTGTAGGGGTGGGGTAGGGTGGTGTGTATGTGGGGGGTGGGGCACAATTATCCAATACATTATTCACACTCGTCACTTCGTTCATGTAAATATATGGTAAAATCTATTACTGGTATTATTATTCGATTTTTAGACCACTAATAATCAGCGTAAATGGATAGGGGTGGGGGTACACCCACTACACCTCCCCCAGAAAAAAATGTGCAGTCGGGCGCAAAATTATGCACCGGCGACTAAATGAATTAATGCCAAAATAGAAGGGTAAAATCACAAATAATGTATTTGCGTGATTTCGTGCACCTACATTGCATACGCCACGCTACTCACGCAAAACTAAAGTATAAAATAACCTTGTCAACTTGTCATGTTTGAAAAAAATATTTTTCACTCTTTTTCTGTTGTGAATATGTTGGTCTAAGAAATGTTTTCCACCGAGGGAGCAAAATAGTCAGTCTATAAATAAGTGCCCACTGCAGTCGGTCTCCGACTAAATGAATTAATAAGGTAAACAAACAATGCCAAAATAGAAGAGAAAAATCCAAATATATAATATATGTATTTGCATGATGAATCTGTGTACCTAAATTGCATACGTCACGCTACTCACGAGCAGATTCACAGCACGAGGTCTGTCTGAAAACATATAGATCAGTTGGGTTGAAACAAACTTTTGCCACCAACAAGTACAATCAATGAATGAATCATAGACATAATAACTTCAACTGTGGATGTTGTCTTTGTACCAGACCATCTTGTGAACCTACCAATTGAATCACCAGAAATGGACAAAACTTGGTATGGAGCAGTCCTCTAGTACCTACAAGTGAAAGGACTAGCCCCAACACATATACATGCCGACATGGTCTACACTTTAGGGGATGATGTCCCTTCCTTTTCCACAGTAATGAAGTGGGCTGAAGCATTTAAGCATGTCAGAGAGAGCCTTGACGATGACTCGCGTCCTGGAAGGCCATCAACAGCAACCCGGAAATGGCATTTCAGGGACTTTAGATTCAAAACTCGTATGTGCATAAGGGGATATCTTTTTGAAACGAACTATACATAAAAAGAATTGACTGTCACGAGATAAGAGAATGCGATAAAATAGAAAATCAGGCGATCTTTATTGATCAAATACTGCTTCCATACTAATTTATCATCCGAACTATTAAAATTTCTTGCAAAGAGTGTCAACACTTGTTTCATTACTGTATTGATTATTCATCTTGGAAAGCAGTTTGCTTATATTGAACAAATAAGTAATTAAAAGGTTATAGCATAGAAAATAAGTAAATCTGTTAAAAATGAAATAAATAATAAAAGGTGAGTATCGAATTAATTCTACAGTGTCCCGCCACAAGTAACCTGG